TGCCAACACTGCAGGCACTCGGACTACAACCATGATGACATTATATATTTGTTACAAGGAAGCAATTAGAGATGGTATTATTATTAAATATCTGGTGATGTTAAGATGTCGATTTTTGTTCTTATGCAAACAACTATCAACCAAATTTTTAACATATCTTTATTTTTGTCTTATTATCTTCTTTTTTTTTCTCTTACAACGCCTAATATACATTTTATAGTCGTGCACGATTTACGTCTTGAATTCATTCAAACTATTTTATATTATATTTAATAATAATTGTGGTTTTTTTTATTTGTAAATCTGTATTGACCCCAGATTATATTAATAAACGGGATCGAGGTTGAGACATCAACTGCAACATCCTAGTCCTGAACCATTGCCACAGACTACTTAGCTTCATAAAAATATAATTGCATACCTAACAAGTTAATAGTTTGTTAAATATCGCAACGATACTAGTGCAATTACAAACAACTTTCGGTCACAATTGTTTCGTAATAAACACTGCACTGCAAAAAACTATTGCACTTCGTTAAAGTATCTACCTTTCTCAGTTGATTGGATGAGCGAGTGTGAGCACAACAGACAATTATAAAATACATCGCACTTTCTTTTGACTTCAATTCAATTGTTTCTGCTGACATTTGTACTTTACGTGCTGATCTTGACCTAAATTTGGTTCTTATTTATCCTGCTGGCTTTCTTATCAATACATTATACGGTCACCAGTCAATAAAATCTGGTTGTTATACATTAATTAACATTTAAATTGACAATGAAGCTTGAATATTTTCTATGGTCCCTAACAATTATCTTGGTAAGTATATATGCTTCTTTTTTATGAATAATTCTGAATTTTGAATATTGTTGACTATCAAAATTGATATGTTGCATACATCAGTTACTGTTGCATCTTTCCTTTTTTTGAAGTTTTCATTATCTAAACAGTCATTATGTGAAAAGTGACTGTCAACTATCGGGAAGCGTTTTGCATGAAATATTTATGATTGTTTAAAAAATGTACCTTATACTAATTAAAGTTACGATTACGCTCAGAAATAATATGTTTTATCTTACATGCAAAAAGAGGCAGAAAATACCAAAGGAATATTCGAAGCCAAACTGACAACACTATGGCAAAAAACGAAAAAAGACAAAAAGACAAACAACAGCCCACAATTCACAACATTTGAAACTAAAGACTGAGCAGCACGAACCCAAAAAAAACTGGGGGTGACCTCAGGTGCTACGTTTTGGTTCTCATACAAGAATTAAATCGGTGATAAGTCACCTTCTGTGATGTCACATTCGAGGATAAGAAGACGGGATTGAAGTTACGATAATGTAACATATCCATCGTCATCTGTGAAACAGATACTCCATAACGGTTAAACAACTCGTCATGGCTTTGAAGAGATGACTTCAAACTTGGAACCCTTTGTTTTATAGCTTCATTGTAAGCAGCAACCCTTAATCATGGAAATCATGATACAAAAAACAAACAAATTAATTTAAGTCTTTAACGATAATTTTACACCATCTGAGAAGTTTGAACTTAAAAACGTTTTTTTTTTTTTTGTCTTTTGAAGGATTTAAGTTTTTTTCAGATATTTTCTTGCTGATAGTCCGAAACTATATACAGTGTTATTTTGTACTGGTAAATAGCAACTACTGAACAGTCTAAACGCAGACTAAACAGATGGCCCGAGAACACAGTTATTTCGTAGTGCATTTCTTTTAGACAATACATTCAAATTTAAAAAATAGCACCTGCTCTAGCTCAAAAAGATTTTTACAGTGTAGTGTACTACTATTGGGACAAATAATATCACAATTATAGAAAATTCTACCAGCTCTCCCTCAAAATATTGACAATTCTATGTTAAGGGTGTCTAAAGTTCAGTTTGACAGCTTCAGACATACTAATTTTTGACCTTTTTTAACTGGACCAAATCACTAATTAACATAAAGATTCAGCACCCAAATTTTTTCTAAATGTTATTTCATCCCCTTAATTAATATTTCATGCATAAAATATAAAGATATAAATTTGGAAAGTGTATGAAAAAAATTTGCACTGTCGTCACTAGGGACTATATTTGTAGGCAACGAAAATCAAAGGACAATAAATTAAGGCAACAGTAGTATACCGCTGTTCGAAACTCATAAATCGATAGAGATAAAAACAAATCCGAGTTACAAACTAAAACTGAGGGAAACGCATCAAATATAAGAGGAGAACAACGACACAACAAAATCACAACATTAAAATGTAACACACACAGAAACGAACTATAATGTAACAATGGCCATTTTCCTGACTTGGTACAGGACATTTTAAGAAAAAAATGGTGGGTTGAACCTGGTTTTGTGGCATGCCAAACCTCCAGCTTTTATTGCAATGTTAAATATAACATTAAAATGACAACATTACATGACATGACTACAATACAAATAAATGGGAGAACATATAGGACAAAGAAACACACGAATAATAGCTAACAAAAGTTACTAGGTTTAAAATTTAATACGCCAGACGTGCGTCTCGTCCACACAAGACTAACCAGTGACATTCAGATGAAAAAAGTTTGAAAGCCAAAACAAGTAAAAAGCTGAAGAGCACCGAGGACCAAAACTTCCAAAAAGTTGCGCCTAACACGGCCAGGGTTTTCTGCCTGGGACAAGAACGTCCCTTATTATTTAGAACAATTTATACTTTTGCAAACAGTAAATTTTATAAAATGACTATATAATAGATATACATGATAAAACCGAAGTGGGGACTAACTACAGAATAAAAACGGATACATTACATAAAACAACTTAATCCAACACATAAAAAAATACACAGCCGGGTTAGCCAAAGCCTCAACGCACAAAGTGACGTCACATTTGAAATTTGAAATATGACACCAACATATATATATATATATAACTGTGTCCTCGGACCAGACCTTAATTGACTGCAAACAAGACCACTTTCGAGTTCTGTCCTTCCTGGAAAAGTTCGTCAATTGTGCGCGCCTTTATGACGTCATTTACCAGATAGAGGGAGACCGCCTGTATCCCTGCACTATTTAATTTCATCAAGCGCCTTCGTGATCGTCATTATACAGGCTAATCTAGAAATAATGTGTGTTCCATTGCTACTTATTCACAATTCCCTAATGACAGCAGTGCTGATTATCAGTTATAAGAATTTAATTTGCCGAATAATTCGTGCAATATAGCATCATATTTTCCACCGCTCGCTCAACATGGGAAGGAAGTGACAATGCCCCTAAACGCACGAATGATGTTCACTAAAACAAAAGTTTTTGACGAAATGCAACGAACCCGAAAGTAGTCTACCTTCTGCTGTTGTCTGTTCTATGGTCGGGTTGTTGTCTCTTTGACACATTCCCCATTTCCATTCTCAATTTTATTGTCTGAACAGTACTGAATTTACCACCACTGAAAATTGACTGAAAGACTGATCATGACGTTATAATTTTTTGTTCAGTCTTTTAAGAGCTGTTGAGTTCAATAGTGAAACGCAAGCTCCGAAATATCGTATCAACTGGAAGATATATACCTCATATACAGGCGCTGCTAGAATGTTGCTACATAGCAGTGAACAGTTCAGAATTATCAAGCTAAAATCTTCTCTCTTGTCGTAAAGTTTTATTCTCAGCCGCCACTCATTGTCAATTTCTAGATGAAAGTCAAGATATGAGGCATAGTCACTAAACTGTGAACTAATTAATGAGAAGACATCATCTTTATAGCGGAAAGTGAAGTTAAAGGATAACACTATCTTCTTTTCATACTTTCTAAGAAATTCCTGTATGAAATAAAGGGACAGGTTGGCAGGAGGAGCCTTCGAGGCTTATCTGCAGAGACACCAACATATTTGTAAAGGAGATCCAAGAGATGATAATCAATACTTTGGTCTTTGATGATCGATGTAGTATGAGTGTTCATAGACCCATTTAGGTTTTAAATGCTACTTCAAATCGAAAACTTCACAGCCATAACCCATTTCGAAAGAGTATCAACGTCTTCTTTTTGCGTTAAGCCCATCGCATTTAGCCAATAAATGAATCAAATTAATGGTTATAGATAATGTATACCATTTATAAGGTTAAGACATTTTACTTCCTTTTAAAAAAAAAATTTTGGAAAGTAATTTTCGAGAAACAAATTATCATTTGTAGAAAACTCATCGAGGATACCAGGCTTATTATTGTGTACGCCAGACGCGCTTTTTGTCTACAAAAGACTCGTCAGTAATGTTATAATAAAAAAGTTAAAAGACCTAAAAAGTTCGAAGTTGAAGAGCATTGAGGATCAAAATAGCTGCACCCTCATACAAATATATCAAATGATGTCTTCATGTTCCAACTTTATTGAAAGATTATACCACATGTATTTTTTATTAACTTCAAGCCTGTAACCCATTTGTATTTCTGTATTAAAGGTTGGATATGGTTTCAAAACATGCTTGTCAGATCACCCAGAACATACAGACCTACAATTTCTATATGAGCCTGATTCGGTAAGTAAAAATTGTAAAGATGGTAAAGGAGAGGTACAGTGTATTAAACAAGAAACAAACAAATAAAACACATTACATAAAAAATGTTGATACTACAATTCTATAGCAACACAGGTGCCACATCCAAAACAATGGCAGACAAAAATCGTTAGAAGGATTCGATCTGCAGCAATCGAAAATCTGTTATTAATTGAATTATTGTTGAAGGATTGACCATACTTGATTATAGTCCTTACTTGACAAATGCTCATTGAATCTGTACACAATAGCTCACACTTTTACGTGACACCCAAAGCAGCGGCGTAATACACATACAAATGTATACATGTACACCATGAAAACTTTAGTTACGGAGAAAGTATAAATGACCTTCATTCAGTAAACACAACAAACCATTTATTTGATGTAAGTTCAAGTGTTTCAACTTTTTATATTATCATTTGTGCATCTTAATAATACTGTAGTTATTCTATGGACAAACACGACTGAAAAGATTCAGAGAATGTGGATTCAATACTTGTTTCAGAGAATGTTTGGAGTGAAAATTACAGCACACCGACAGAAAAAGTGCTACGCTTACAACATGACGGAGTCGGAGCATTCATTGATACATACCCCTAGAGGCCTGACATCAGTAGAGGTATTTATTGGTACAAATTTGTATACAAGAATATTACAAGGTCAATTTACAGTGGAAAACTAAAAAAAAATATAAAAATCGGGTATAGTTCGTTTTACGAAAATTTGTGTATTACATTTTAAGACGGTTGTTAGCTGACCTTAGTATGCAAATATTGTTTTAGATCTATATATCAAAATCTAAAACCTTTTCATATATGTTGATCAATTTGACCAGTTTAAATGTAATCAAATATAATCCTATTATAATTCAGTCTTTAGAAATATTTTACATGAAAATTATATAATACTGTCTGAGTCTAGTGTTCTTATCTTCAGTTTTTACAGATAATGCAATTGTAACTCAAACTAAAACTTTAACTTCTTCATGAAATGTTGACCGTAGACGGGTTGAAGTGATCTTTTCGGACCTTTTTTTTATGCACACACACTTCCAAATATATCTGTTTTGAGAGTACCTGATGGTTCCCTCGGAAAATCTTACATAAAGTTTTATGCATAATATCTTGTCGTGTCGTTTGACTATTTCATATAGTCGTCACTGGTCATCCTTGCAGCCGATGGAAAATTTTAACACTGTTGAGTAGTATAGAGCAGGACATTTTGACCCTGCAGATAAGTGTTGATGACAAAACATAATGTAGGAACTATTTTGTTTTAAATATGTACTTCTTTCCAATATGTTATTTTTTACCGGGCCCGATTTGGTGGTAATACTTCATACAAAGTATATCCGAATCATTTTGCAAAGAATTCCGCTCAAACCGGTGCTAGGGGCCGACTTAAACTTGCAGTGAGGTGAGAGTTTTTTGTTGTTTTTTTTTCCTCCGTGTTGAATGCCTCATTGTGAGTTTGAGTTGAAGAATAGCAATACAAGCACTGTTCCTTTGCTTTTTGTGTGTTTTTTGCTGTACATGTACTGATTTTGTGTCATGGATGAATACCCCATGTCCTATGTTTTTCTATTATGTATCTGGATTTTGTGTTATATAACGGAACCAAGCATTCTTACTGGTATGCAATAAGGTATAACTGAAACAAATGTTCTGCCTGTAATGAAATTAAGGATGACGGAGATGTGAACAATATAAAGAATGATAACTAGTGAAAAACGGCAATGCACATTCTTACTGGTATACAATAAGGAATAATTCTTAAAAATCAAATTAAATAAGGATCTACGACAAAAAGATAAACAGGTTCAAAACACTACGTAGAAAACTAAAAACTGAGGAACGTGAACTCGACAAAAATACATGGGGTTCTCTGGAAGGGTTAGCTAATCCTGATACACTAGTGGCACCAGTCAAAAAGGAAAGGTAAGGGCTGATGTGCTGAAAGATTTTTTGTCATTTTGGAGTTGAATAATCAACTATTATGAAACCTCGGGTGTATCATTTCACATAGAAGGTTATATTGAAAAATGTTACGAGAAACCCATCTTACATTTTAACGGTGGCATTCCTTATGAGGTACTTGACATATATATGACTAATATGACAAGCCGATTGGTAAACATTCACATTGACTCTTATGGTTAATATTTTACCTCAGACTTGATTGAATCTATATTTTAAAGAAACTCAGAGAACCTTGTGAGGTACTTCTTCAGTCTTGCATATTTTCATTGGATTAAAACGATGACCGATATCGCCACTAGTTTGGGATATAGTTTTACACTGACACCTTAGGATACTCAACAATCGGAATGTTCCTAAAAAAATTAAACATAGAATTACAAAGGTTAAGTGACATAAATAGTGTTCTACCGAACTAAAAATTCGACTGACTCTAATACCAAAGAGAAGTTTTACACAACAATATTAAAATGTTCTTGAAGAGAATCCTATTTAACGCAAAAGAGATGGTATTTAGAAAAAAAAAGCAAAATATACCTTGTGATGTACCGAATGAGTGCTGTGCACTTTAAAACAATATGGAGATAACTTTAACTCATACATTGCATTACATAGATTCAAGGCGATTAAACAATTCCAATCATGTGAAAGCTGAAAGATGCAAAGTTTGATGATTTCTTCTTTCGTTTCAGATAAAAATATATTAGCTTCATTCCTTTTTATATATGTATATAGTACACATAGTATATCTAATTTTTTGTCAAAACGAATACATTATAAGTTTTATGATAGATGTCATAAAAAATTATAATAAATGTACAAGTTACTTTTTATAAGGCTATTCGTAAAATTTACACACTTCTATTCCATAGATTTATTACTAGTATTAATACTCTTATTTTTTATATTTGCAGTCGAAGGTTCTAACATTGGTTACAAATGGTACACATCTTGCGCATATAACTCATAGAGAATCGATTGATCAATTCAGTCGTAACTTCGGGCATTTTTGTGGAAATTCAATGGTTTATCTTTTGAACTGAATCTTGTATAATAAAGAAATAGTCGTATGTTTGATTTTTTCCCCATCGGTTGTTACTGTCAAACAAATTGTACTGGTTCGATCCTGCTAGATCTGTTTTGGTAGAAAAGCTCTCCGAAGTGAGTCTCTTTATATTATACTGAACTGCAAAAGAAACGTCGTATTTTTCGAAAACTCAAATTTTCAAATACATTGAAAAAAAATATTTACTTATTTTGGTTTAGGTAAATTGTACGACTTTGCCCCCAGCAGAGCTATAGAAAAACAGTACATTAACGGGTGTTACACGGACACTTTTTAGATGATACACGGACACTTTTTAGTTGTTACACGGACACTTTTTATGAATAGAATCACTCGTGCATGATCAGTGAGTTCATGGGCACTTTAAATTTCAATTAGATTTGAACTTTTTTGTTTCACCGACATATTTCCTGTCTTTTTAATTAAAATATTTACGTTAGCATCAATAACTATATTTTTTTTCAAACAATTCCAGTAACTATTCATATTAGTACACTAAGGGATTGACCATTTAACTTCAAAAGGTGGGTTATGGTTTTTTCCTAAAAAAACATTTTGATCCCCAATTTTATGAGAAAAAATATATAATATATTATATAGTTGAAAAACTAAATAATTTTCTTACTCAGAAAAGAACACACCCCCTTTTGAAGCTAAATGGTCGGTCCGTAAATGTTTTTTTTTTTTCAATATATGGACATGAATAGTATTCTGGACAATGCTGAAAGAAATGCTGGTACCAACGTTTATACTTCAATAAAAAAGACAGGAAATATATATAAAAAAATCAAATATAATCAAAAGATAAAATCCCTATCAACTCACCAATGCACGATTGATCCTATAAATAAAAAGAGTCCGTGTAGTACATGTTCAAATAGGCAGCAAATCTGGAAGAAAATCATTCAACTTATGTCATCAATTTTGGACGGTAAGCTCTGATTGGATCATATAATGACAAGTGTTTAATCCTGATCAACACTATCAGAGACATATAAAAACCTATTAGCATGATTTTTAATCCAAAATATATGCCTATATGTATCTAATAACAAGACAAAATCCATTTTTTCATAACATTTCATTCACTAATGAGATAGGAAATTCATTCTTTTGATACACTTATATTGTTATTGAATTCATATATATTGAATTCATATATTTGGCGGCAAACGTACGATTTTTACGATTTTTTTAGGGGGAATTAGGGGGGGGGGGGTGTGTGTGGGGGGGTAGGGGGCTGGATTGGCACATCCTGCATTCTTTCAACAAAAAAAGGATGAAGCCTGTTTATTTTAAATTTATTTTAACCCCCCCCCCCTTTTTCCCACAATAAAAATCAAATGGTAGCTTGCTTACCTCTGAAATCTTTTTTTTATACATTACTTACTTGCGAAGTTGCATTTCAAAAATTCTCAAATGTGTATAACATTCACCTTTAACTGAAATGGTTCTTTTTATAAAGTTATTAGATTCTTGAATTTTTTGAGAAAAAAACTCTCGGCTGAAGGGAAGTGAGAAACAAAATTGAGTTTAAACTGTAACTTACATTAACTGGTATATGGCCATTAAGTTTCTAATATCTTTAGTTTTGCTACCTCTTCTAAATGCAAAATGTACTTCTTCCTTCTTGAAACGTCGTACAAGTCAGATACAAAACAAAGGTAACTAAAAACAGGCCGGAAACAACCTGCCGTTTAGTTTGTCTGCACTTGTAGTCAGGTCAAGGTCCTCGGCTATCGCCTCGGACCTTGACCTGACTACTCGTGCAGAAAAACTATCCGACAACGGTTGTTACCGGCCTGTTTCTTTGTTACCTTTGTATTGTATCTAATACTTACCTTTAAATTATGCTAAGATTATGTTTAAATCTCCGTTACGGTTGACTGCGTTCATTAATTCGGTCGTCCTAATATTGGTTTCGCTGGGTCCGTGGGACACGTTCCGCAGTCAAATTTCATGATGATGATATGCACGTTGAATCCGTGCCTCATTTAGGGTATTTAAGAGGTTTTTGTGTCATCATTATCTGTTTGATGCAGTACTGATGCAGAGACCAATTAGTGATGATACAGTCCGGCGTCGATTGAATTCTCGTAACTTGAGTTGTCGTCGTCCTGCCAGAGGTCCTATTCTCACACCACGTCATCGCCGTGAACGACTACAGTGGGCCACCCATCGCCAAATTTGGCGACATCAGCAGTGGAGGACGGTTATCTTTTCAGACTAAAGCCGTTACTGCATTTCAAATGCAGATGGCAGGACACGAATCTGGAGAAGACAGGGCGGAAGACATGCTGATAACTGCATGATGGAAAGAGATCCATGGGGAGGTCCAAGCATTATGGTATGGGGCGGAATCGGCTTGAACCATAAATTAGGGCCTGTTGTCTTTGCAGCCCGGTATACCCATCAAGTTCTACGACCACATGTTGTGCCACATTTTGCACGCTATCAAAACAACTCTTTTCAGCATGACAATGCACGTGCGCATACTACAAGAGCTACAAGGGACTTTCTACAGCAAAACAACATTACAATTATGCCTTGGCCTGCTCTTAGTCCGGACTTAAACCCCATAAAACATCTATGGGACGAGATTCAGAGAAAACTGAATGACGTCCACCCAAGACCGACAACTGCTGTGGAACTTCATGCATCTTTTCTGCAGGTGTGGGCTAGGATTCCTATGCACTTTATCAACCGTCTGATTCATTTTATGTACAGGAGATGCCGGGCCGTAATTAACGCTAATGGAGTACACACACGCTACTGACTGGTGACCTGTATTAATTAATCCTGTGATATGGTGGTGAAAAACTTTATCAATGAACAGTGAATGAACTGAAATATTGTGAATTTGTTAAATAACAAGGATTTTTATACGCCCATTCAATAAAAAATATAGTATTTATTTTTGCATCATTTTTGCCTCAAATTATTGCGACGTTTCTTTTGAGGTTCAGTATAATACTCAGTCCCGTATCGTTTATCTTGCTTGTCGCAAGAATTGTCAAAATTTTGATTTACGGATTTATTACCAAGATAAAGATTAACACAATGTTATAATGAACAGACAAAGAAACAAAAGATCCGTTTGTATACATTTGTTGCAATGATTTACCGTGATTTCCCAGTGAAATCAAAACCGATAATTTCACATGTGAAATTAAAACCGATAATTTCACATGTGAAATTAAAACCGATAATTTCACATGTGAAATTAAAACCGAGAATTTCACATGTGAAATAAACCTGATAATTTCACTCCTCTGTGGTCATACAACAATGGATGATGTCAAGACGTTGTCGATGACGTTGCATCAATACAATTGAGATTGCGCAGAAAAGGATATATTTCCTTTCATTTTTGACTTTATTTCCATTAAAAAGTCCATGGTCCATGTAATAAAAAGAATAACTAATCCAAGAATTAAAATATCGAAAAATATTCAACTCGTGAACGAACAACACTGATAATAAGATAAAGGCTTACACAAATATTGCCTGAATAATCATGACGGTATTGATGAAAATAATTATATAGATGTCATATCTACAGTTAAATATATACCATGGTCAATGCTTTTGTTTTGTCTTGCCAATTTCAATAACAAAATGAACACGTTTAAAGGGTTGCTGAAAATACCAAAAGAATCATCAAACTCATATAAGTTGAAGATAAACTGGCAATGATATGACACAAAAAAAAAATGAAAAACGATAAAAAGGCAAACAATGAGTCTACCAAGACTACATAAAAACTGACGAATGAGTAACAAAAGCCCTACCAAAAAAAAAGAGAGGAAAGCAGATAATGCTCCACATGTGCCCGCCGCTGCATGCATTTCTCGTTTAGAATAAGTTGATAAGTTTTACCAAGATATATACTTCATAACAGTAAATGTTTGGTCACTCGTTGAAAATTTTTCTATACTTGAATACTTGAATAATTTATTCTATAAATAATAAGATACTTGAAAAAACTGTTGTGGGAAAATCTAAAACCCCTTTATGAAGATCTGAAGGCCAATGTTGTTCATTATATACTATATAAAGGCCCCGACATAACAATATGTGGAACAATCCAAACAAACAAAAAACAACCTCTGAGTTACAGACCAATAAAGAAGCGGCCATGTTCATCTGTGATAAAGCAAATACATAAGGGTCAAACAAATCAAATTTGTGTCCGAAAATCTTTAGAACAGATGCCTTCAATTTCAAAGCCTATTACAAATAAAAAAAAATACATCCTGTTTACACAGACGATAATTTCGATCCGTACAAATTCAACGGATTTAATATAAAGACTTAATAGACAGTCTGAGAAACGCATGACCTTGTGCAATGCAAAACTATAAGTATCATGAAATCATCACATTTGATTTCTGGGAACACGGATTCATTTTCAAACAGTCTATCGGATACTTCATGTCTAGTTGAAGATTTTTCTTATTTTTTAACGTTTTTCTTCAAAACAACAGTTTTCTTTTCCGGACTATCACTAAAACGATTGTGAAGTACCCCCTTTTAAACAAATATTTTTTATCAAAAAAAAACCTTTAGGTGACATGTAACCCCAGTTTACGGGTGCATTTCATTCGCGCCAATTTTTACAAAATGCAGTATTTCATTAATCGCCACAAGGTTATATTTCATTTGTGAAAAAAAAATTATTTTGCTCCATTTTCACAGATACATTGTAATATTTGTTTATGATTAGTATCTTTTTTTTTGTTTTCTTGATGAATTGGGTTCTTATGGCAGATATTTGGTTGTTTTTGTAAAATTGATTTACAATTTTTGTATAAATTTTGAACGATTTAGAACATTGTGTAGACACCTGTCAATTGTTGATAACTGTATGTTGCCTCTAGAAGTCCTTTGATTATTTTAGTCGTTGGGTTGCTGTCTCATTGACGTTTACACCAAGTCTCTTTTTATTCATACAGTTTAGATTCCGTTTGGTGTACTTCAAAAACCGTTCATGACAAATCGTGA